TTGCAGATCAAATGGATTTCAAGCCAACACTCATTAAGAGGGACAAAGAAGGGCCCTACATCCTTGTAAAGGGAACAGTCCAAGAGGAAGAGATGACAATCATAAAGATATATGCACCAAATACTAGTACACCCAACTATATAAAACAGATACTAACAGACATGAAAAAATCAAATAACCACAAATACAATAGCAGTGGGGGAGTTCAACACCCCACTGTCACAAATAGATAGATCAACTAGACAAAAAATAAAACATGAAATACTAGAACTCAAACTCTTGAACAAATAAACTCAACAGATGTTTACAGTGTTCCACCTCACAAAATCAGAATACACATTCTTTTTTGTGGCACATGGGCCATTCTCCAAAACAGACTACATACTCACTCATAGAACATATTTAAGTAAATGCAAAGGAATGGAAGTTATCCCCTATATATTATTAGACCTTAGTGCAATGAAATTGGAGATCAATAGCAAAAGAAACCACAAGAATTTCATAGACACATGGAAAAAAACACATTTCTGAATAACCAATGGGTCACAGAGGAAATTAAAGAAGAAATCAGACAATTTCTACAATTAAATGACAATGTCAATACGACATATTGGAATCTATGGGACACAATGAAAGCAGTCTTACAAGGGAAATTCATAGCAGTGAATGCTCATATTAGGAAAACAGAGCGAGCTCAATTAAACTACCTGATGCTGAGCCTCAGCTTCTAGAAAAGGAAGAGCAGGACAAACCCAAAGCTCATACAAGGGGGGAAATTATAAAGATCAGGGCAGAAATCAGTGCAATGGAGACTAAGAGAACAATACAAAAAATCAAGGAAGCCAAGAGTTGGCTCTTCGAAAGAACAAACAAAATTGACAGACCCTTAGGCAACTTTATCAAAAGAGAAGAAAAGGCCCAAATCCGTGCAATGAGGAATGAAAAGGGTAAAATTACAATGGACCCAGAAGAAATCCAGAGGATCATCAATACCTACTTTGAGAACCTATACACCAATAAGATGGAAAACACAGAAGAAATGGACAGATTCCTAGATTTGTATGAATTACCAAAGTTGAAGGAAGATGACCTAAAAATTCTAAACAACCTAATATCAATCAATGAAATTAAAAACACAACTAAAAACTTACCAATACAGAAAAGCCCGAGTCCTGGTGGCTTCACTGCTGAATTCTACAAGACATTTAGAGAGGAACTACTGTCACTACTGTTTAAACTCTTCAGTGAAATTGAAAGGGAAGTAATATTCCTGAATTCATTCCTGGAAGCAAGCATCCCCTTGATCCCAAAGCAGAGAAAGACCCAACCGAAAAAAAATAACTATAGGCCAATCTCACTAAGGATAGATGCAAAAATCCTTAATAAGATACGGGCAAATATAATTTTGAAGATCACCAAGAAGATCATATGCCCTGACCAAGTGGGATTCATCCCAGGGATGCAGGTATGGTTCAACATACACAAATCAATAAATGTAATACACTTCATTAATAGAGCCATATGCTCGTTTCAATAGATGCAGAAAAAGCATTTGACAAAATCCAACATGCATTCAAGATTTTTAAAACCTACAAAAAATTTGTAATGGATGGTCTCTACCTCAACCTGATAAAAGCTATCTATGATAATAGCCAATATAACATTAAATGGTCAAAAATTGAAATCCTTCACACTAAAATTAGGAATAAGACAAGGGCATCCACTATCACCACTCCTGTTCAATATAGTTTTGGAAACATTAGCCACAGCAATTAAACAAGAGAAAGAAATAAAAGGAGTAAAGATAGAAAATGAAGAAGTCAAATTGTCATATTTTGCAGACAACATGATACTCTATATAGAAGACCCCCAAAACTCCACCAAAACTCTTCCTAGGCTTCATAACTAAATTCAGTAGGTGGATACAAAGTCAGCACACAAAAATCAATAGCTTTCTGGTACACGAACAACAGACTCACTGAACGAGGAACTGGAGAAACAACTCCCTTCATAATAGCAACCAAAAAATCGAAATACCTAGGAATCAACCTAACAAAGGAAATCAAAGATCTCTACTCTGAAAATTACAACACTCTGAAAAAAGAGATTGAAGAAGATATCAGAAAATGGAAAGACATCCCTTGTTCCTGGGTAGGAAGAAACAATATAGAGAGAATGGTTATACTTCCAAAACGGCTATGTAGATTCAATGCCATCCCAGTTGAAATTCCAACAGCATACTTTACAGACCTTGAGAAAAAACAATTCAAGAAATCATTTGGAAGAAGAAGAAGAGACCTAGAATAGCAAAAGCAATTCTAGGCAACAAAGACAAGGTAGAGGATACACAATCCCAGACTTGAAACTATACTACAAAGTTGCTATGATAAATAAAGGATGGTACTAGCAAAGAAACAGACCCGAGGACCAGTGGAACAGATTAGAAGATGCAGAAACAACTCCAGACACACTCAGCCACCTCATCTGTGACAAGGAGCCAAATACCCTCACTGGAGAAAAGATAGCTTCTTTAATAAATGGTGCTGGAAAAATTGGGTTTCAACATGCTAAAGATTAAAACTAGACCTATATCTCTCACCATGCACTAAACTAAAATTGAAATGGATTAAAGGTCTAAATATTAAAATAGAAATGTGAAACTGGCTGGAAGAGCAGTTAGGTAGAACTCTTGAAAACACTGGTGTCAGAAAAGATTTCGTGAGCAAACTTTAGCACAAAGAATCAACAAGTGGGATCTCTTCTTATTAAAAAGCTTCTGCACAGCAAGAGAAACCACCAACTGTGAAGAGACAACCCACAATGCGGGAGAAAAGTTTTACTAGATGTTCCTCAGACAAAGGTCCACTATCTAGAATATATAAAATTATCTTTTAAAAAGCAGACATCCCAAATCTAAAGATCCAATCCAAAAATGGGCAACTGAAATGAACAGACATTTCTCAGACAAAGTAAGAATAGCAAATAAACATGAAAAAATGTTCGACAACACTGGTCATTCAAGAGATGCAAATGAAAACTGCGCTGAGACTCCACCTCACCCCCAAAGCATGGCTGCTATCATGAAATCAACCAATAACAAATGCTGGCGGGGTTGTGGGGAAAAAGGAGCCCTGCTCCACTGTTGGTGGGAGTGTAGGCTGGTGCAATCACTGTGGAAATCAGTATGGAGTTACCTCAAAGAACTAGGATCAGAGGTCTCATTTGACCCAGCTATTCCCCTGCTGGGTATCTTCCCCAAAGAATTAAAAGAATCATACCACAGCAATATATGTACACTTATGTTCACAATGGCACAGTTTGTAATAGCTAAAACTTGGAAACAGCCCAGTTGCCCATCAGCTGGAAACTGGATAATGAAAATCCATTAAAAAAACAAAATTAAGTACTACCCAGCCATAAAGAATGAGATGCTAAATAGAAGCACGCTGAGGAGATACTCTTAAGTGAAACAAATAGGACACACATGTAACTACCAAATAGTTTCTCTGGTGTGAGAAGCTGAAAGCATAAATGAGGATCAAAATGTATTATAGATAACGTGAAATAAAAGGTGCAAAGGGGAAGGGGAAGTAGGAGGGGCAGGGGAAGGAAAGAAGGGAATGGAATGAAAAAATGGAAACAAAATCTTTGCAAATAGAGAGGGGTGGCGGTGTTGAAGGGAGGGCAGGGGAAAGGGGGAAAAATAAAAACCAAGATAGATTATCTAAAGGTGCAAATCTCTAAAGATGAATGCCATTATATTGTATACCTAAAATGTACCAATAAATTAATTTAAAAAATAAAACCACATGTAATTTTAGTTTCCTTGGCCCCTGAATGCTTTCCCAGTGTGTTGTCTATTGCACTGAAAATACGAGTAGCATTTCTTGTACTGCCGCCGCCTGGAAATCTGCCCCCTGGGTCCTCAGGAGGGCCACAGCCTCTCTTCCAAGTGAGGTATATAACTTCTTCGGTGGGATCTTACAACCTGCCTTGCCATTATTGAGAGCATCAATAGGGTTCAGGCCATGGGGAACCCCCCACCCCGATCCCACCCTGTGCTTTACTTTCCCACTGGCTCCTCAAACTTGTGGTGGTGGTCCTGGACAATTCTTTTGGGGAGGAGAAATACTGTATCACTTTTACAGCACTAGAAGTCATTCCTAGGAAAGGGTGTGCTGACCTTTTGTGGCAGCATGGAGCAGTACAACCTTCACCTTCTGCAGCAGATATCCTGCTCCTTAACCTAGGAAAATTCAACCACTGTACAGGTATTTGTACCGGCTACCTGGTTTTTTGACAATATTTTTTGAGGCAGAGTCTCACTCTGTAGTGCAGGCTGGCCTTGAACTCACTAAGTAGCACAGGCTGACCTTGAACTCATGGCAATCCTACTGTTTCAGCCCTCCTTGTACTAGGATTACAGGCATGTACCACCACATCCAGCTCATGATTTTTCAGAGTGGGCCTCGTACAGGAATGTTGACAAATCAGGTTTCTGTCAAGGTCCAGGGCTGTGCAGGCACTGTCTTTAGCTGCTTTTAACTTGGCCTCTAAAAGGGAGAACAATCAGCTTCCTTCTTGACTCCATGACTAGTGGTCTGGAACCGGAGCCAGGAACCTGGATCGTTCACCCAATCTCTTCAGCACCTGCCGCCCTGTGGATCTCCTCATCTCTGTCACCTCCATGACCAGTGTGACCTTCTGGGAAGGGCACATCGCCATCCTCACCTTTAACACCACCTCCACATACTTTAAAAGGCCTCGCTAGAAGAACCCATATTCCTTTCTTCTTTACCTCCACACCACCAACCACAGCCTTGCCAGCCGCACCTCCTGCACCTGTCACCACATCACCACCATCCCTTGGTAACACGTCCCTCGTCGCACTGCGGCCATCACCTCCAACCCCAGTCCTAACACCTTTTATGTCACCACCACCCCACCTGCGCTCTCTTCACTTTTCTTCGTCTCATCCCCTCCACTAATCTTCTTCTCTTGTGTTTGATTCAGGAACTCTTACAGTCAAACAGGAATGAATCAGAGAAGAGTAGCATGGCCCCCTGTACAAGGACGACACAGAAATTCGGGTGGAGTTCCACAATTTAAAAAAAAAAATCTTCCTGTCCTATAAGAGGATTTGATGGAGATTTATAGGCCCTTGACCAGGTCTGTGTGGTCTAAAATTTGTTTGCATTACCCCAACGACCATGATATGTCCATTATTGGAACTCATGGCACATTATAGAAGTGTTGGTGGGGACAGGGCTGCTGAGACCCTCGCTGTGGGCAACTGGCAAGGGGCAAAGAAAGTTGAAGTGAGTAGATACCATCTGGCTTGAGATTAGCTGCTGGGGTAAGGAGAAAACAAGGCGTGTCACTTATTTATGTGTCCTTTTATTTGCCAGATGGTATTTCTTTCCAAGCACCTCTTGTATACCAAACACTAGCCTCAGTGTTTGCCACTCTTTGCACTGTTTAGACAACTCTAATGAGAGGTGTTACTGTCCTCACTTCACCAGTGAAGAAACTGAGGTTCTCAGAGGTATAGCAATTTTCCAGAAATCAAAACCTGGATGTTAGGGACTGCGGTTGAAGTCTAGATCCAGTTCAAACAAACCTCTAAGTTTTTTTAAAGTTTTGAGTTAGGTCTCTGTGATTCTGAAGGTTTTTTTTTTTCCTTTTAGACTATTTGTTTCTTTTCTCTAACAGTTTTTAATATTCTGTTTCTTATGTTGCATTTCTGGAATCTTGACTATTATATGCCTTGGTGTAATTTTTTCTGATATTGGCTAATTGGAGTCCTGTGTGCTGCACTTATCTGTATGTCAAATTCTTTTTCTGTGCTTGGGAACTTTTCTGATATTACTTCTGTGAACAGGGTTTTTATGTTCTTCATGCTATCTTCTGATTTTTGCACTGATTCTGATTAATATTATGTTATTCTTCTTTGCATCATCTATCAGCTATTGGATTGATTTTTCATGATTCCTTCCTATTTTTAAGAAATCTTTCATTGATAATAACTAGCCACAAACCTGTCTTCTAGGTCTGAAATTCTATCTTCATATCAATTCATTCTGCTGCATACAGTTTTAATGGAATTTTTAAATATCTGGGTTTTGTGTTTGAATATGTCTTATGGAATCCAGTTCTTTCCTATGCTGGGCAGTCATGGTTTTTGTGGCTTTATAAGCTTCTCTATTTTAAAAAATCTGTATCTACTGTAGATTCACTAACCATGTCCTTCACTGTGGTCATCATCTCTTTAGTTATTTGTGTGATTATTTCCGATTTTTAAAGAGACTCATTCATCTGGTTTGTTACTTCTGCTGCTATCATTTCAAAAAGTTCGGCTGGGTTGCTTTTGGTTTCTTCTACCTCAGAGCCCCTTGGATTAGCCTTGAGTGAAGTGGAGGTCTGGGGTTACAGCTTGCTTCTGTGTTTTCTCATTTTCTATTTATTAATTTGCTTTCTGCATCAATGCTTGTAAATTGCTTGTGGTAGGTAGCTTTAGTACTAGTATCCAGACTTCTTTAGGAAATGATTATTTTTCAGAGATATCTTCAAGGGGTATCTTTTGGTTTTTGAATATGTCCCAAGATCCTGCATTTTTAATTTATAGGAAGGAGAGGCCTAGCACCTCATTCTTTGGTACTGGACCACGGTATTGTTTATGACCCCTAGACAATCTCACTATTGGCATACAAGGAAGAACAATGGATCACAGTTCTGTCACCTGGCTAAAGTAGTACAACCAGTAATAATAACAATAGCATCAAACACAGACTGGAAAATTACAAACTTTTGGAACTGTTAATTTGCCACCTTAAACCACAGCTATATATATATATATATATATAAGCCCCAAATAAATCAGAAAATTATATACAGTAAATATCCGCTCTCCAGAGCAATTTTATCCTCAGGAGAGAAAATCAAAAGGGAGAAGAGGAAAAACTACAGAAATGAAAGAGAGAGATATAAGAAACAATGCTGAAAGACAAAAGAAGATTACTCAAGCTTTGGGAAACTGATGAAGAGAGGAGGGAAAGAGCCAAGAAAGAAGCAAGACCAATACAGAACAAACCCTAACCCTAGTCAGCAGTAAGGCACTGAGGAACCAGCATTCTGCGCCGAGCTTCTGAAGTACTCAGAGGGCAGGTATGACGGTGGCTTTTAAGCCCTGACAGCAACAACACTGAGAGTGAAGCAAGCCTGGCCTTGAAAAACATCTGAGCCTGTTGGAGAAAAAGAAATACTACAAATTTCTTGCAGATGACTATCACAAAAAGCAGGAATTCCTCAAAACTCTTCGGAAGAAGGTGCTTGAGAAAAATTCAGATGAATTCTACTATATAATGACTTGGGTTAAGCTCCAGAATGGAGTTCATGTTTTTAAGGAAACTAAGGAAGAAGTAACTCCAGAAGAGCTAATGCTAAGGAGAGCTCGGGATGTCAAACACATAGAAACGAAAAGTGTTGCAGAAGCTAAGAAACTTGAAAGACTAAAATCAGAGCTCCATCTGCTGGATTTCCAGGGACAGCAACAGAATAAATGTGTTCTTTTTTGACATCAAAAAAGAAGTTGAACAAGTTTGATATTGCTACTCACCTGCAAGCAGCCCTGGAACTAGTTGACAGTCTTTAACAGACCCAAGATAGAGACCTTGCAGGAGGAAACAATGAAGTGGATGCCATCATTTGAAGATATGCAAAGCCTCTTCTCCCAAAAGGCCTAACTCTTCCTGTAGTTGGATGTGAAAATCACTGATTCCAAGATGGATATTTCCAAACATGGAATAACTATACAGTATATGGTTCACTCCCCACATAAGGCAGTCAGCAAGAAGTCTCCTCTTTGTTGAGAACAATGCAGTCATTCCTGCTACACTCATCCCAGTGGTACTAAGCACTTGGACTGAACTCCCTCCAAATTCATCAATACATCATCATTTTACAAGCAGATGATCTTTTTCCTAGTGATTAGTTTTTAAGACCTGGAATACATTATGCTGCCCTAAATGACACCCAGTAGCTTCGTTGCACCAACCTAAGGTCTCAGCTGCCTCCTGGATAAGCTAGGAAAATGCTTATCACATAAGCTGGGAAATGATAAGGCCTTGGCTCTTTGGGCCAACTTGGGGAATGGTTCATGAACATTACAAGTTTTGTTTTCATAAGCCTTATATGGATAATAAACTGCCTCTTAAATTTTATTTTGTCTCGTTTACAGTATATCTGCTTCCAGATGATTTTACAGCCTTCTGATTCAGCTGTCTATATGGAGATCCTTGATTGACCCTCCAGGCCTACAAGTCAGCAAGAGTAGAGTTCTAAATCCCTCCCCTCAGTACTTCTCCTTGGCAAGAAATTGCCAGAAAAATGCAATGTCTCAATGCCCTAAATGATTTGATGGGAGAATGTTAGGCAGGTAGTTAGAATTTAGTGGGCCTAAAGAATAAAGAAGATCAAAACAGTATGCACTGCCAATTATAGTTATACAACAACAACAACAAAAAGACCTCAAGGTAAGGTACATTTATAATTATCTATTAGGTCTTAGATAAAAAATGTCCCTACACAGCACAATGAAATCTTAAGATCAGACAATGTGCACAGCTGTACTGTATGGTTATCCAATCCTTCAAGGTCATTTATTCTTTTTTTTTTTGTACCAGGGATTGAACTCAGGCCCTTGTGCTTGCAAGGTAGGTGGCAGAACCACTGAGCCAAATCCCCAGCCCAAGGTCATTTATTCTTAAAACCAGGCAGCCATACATACAGTACTCCTGGTTACCATGGTCAGTGGTCCAACGATTACAAAAATGAGGACAAAAGTACTATTTCAAAATCTACCCATGGTGCCTACAAAAATTAAGACCTGACTTAAATTAAAATACTGTTTATTAATTTAATTTCCAGACTGCCTCGTATGATTAGGTGCCCTGGGACGATATTATACATCGAGGAAAATCCTGACCATCTTGAGAAAATAAATAATATGCTTTGCAACAGTCAAGATAGATTCCAAGTATCTTAATTACTTTCCTCATCACTGGGGCACAATACATGTTGCCCACAAATTAAAGGAAAAAATGTTTATTTTAACTCACAGTTTGTAGAGGTTTGGAAGCAGAGACAGATCAAGGGAGGTGGGAGGGATACCCTTCTGGGCCATGTATAGTGACGTTTTCTGACTAGGATTCATTTCCCAGCTAAAAACTCATCAGTGGACTACTAAAATAAATTAACTAATTAGAAGAGCCTTAATCTGCATGGCCATGCTGGAAAGCACTGAAAAAGATGGTCAAGATCTGTCCTTTGGAGGCTGATAGAAATTAGGGGGTTTTAGAGAAAGGTGAACAAAGGCAAGTACTGGTTGATTGGCACAGCTGGCAGTAGAGGTGAACCAGGTCAAGCTGCAGTCTTGTTGATTGATCTCTCGGGATTGGTTCCATGAAAGCTTGGGAGATCACCATTGCTTTAGGGAACAGTTCAGTTTCCATCATGAGATGAAGGCTTCTTCTTGAGGGGGTCAGAATTGGGTCCTGTTATAGGGTAATTGCTCCCCCTTGAGAGGTGACCTCATCAGCAAGTGGTCTTAAAGGCCTACTCTTTCTGGACCCTGAGGTGATTATAGATTGAAGACAAATTTGGAAACTTCTAGGCACAGCACCAGGAGATCTCAATATGGATTTTGTGAAAGTAGGCAATTGGGTGTCCCTGAAAATTATTTTTGAGTTATTTTGAATTTTTCTGAAAATTACTTTTATCTTCTTGTTCTCAGTCTTGAAAAGGAATGCAATATTCTAGGTAAATTTAGGGTTAATAAGATTTGTCTTATAGATGCTCCTGAAGTGATTAACCTGCCATCTAAATAGGGATGTGATCCCACGTTTTAAGGTAACAAGGGAGACATCTAAAAATGAAAGTAGACATGCAAAGCTTTATATGCTTGTAGTTGGCTACTGTAAATCTGCATATCTAACCTCTGGGTTCTCTATCTCCAGCCCTCCAGGGAGGGGAATAGTCCACGAAGACTGAGTTCAAGCACTAGGCCAGTGGTTAAATAATCATGACTTTGTAATGAAACCTCAATGAAATC